TGGCGGTCCACTAGTTTTGCGATTTACAAGAGGTTGTCTTACTGGCACAACTTCCTTGTTGAATCGTTTGCCACTAGCAATTTTTCCGGACCGACACGTCTTAGGGACCTACAAGAAGAGAGCCTACTCTTTTATAAAAGGCCGGCAACGGATCTGCAACTCCCCTGGTTCCCCTGGTGTTGCAGTTGTTCATGGGCGGCGGTAGTCATTTACCATCTGGTGAGCTGTATGCTCGTTTGCCCCCTCTCATGTAAAACAAATTATATGTAAATATGAATGATGATATATGATATGAAGTGAAGGAAATAATATTTAGGAAAGGAAAAAAATATTACTAGGTAAAACTGTATTACGTTTCCAATTGACACAGGAACCAGGCAAACAGTTAAACCCACTTTCGGCGCGAAATCACAGATATAAGTTTTCGTACGTACGGCCGCGGTGCACTGTACGTTTTTCTCCACCTGTCAATATAAATGGGGAATAGGATTGAAAATGGACAGGCTAGGTAGGGGGAAGACGTGTGCGAGTGTCAATGTCCATATGCCAAATATTTCAATCTAGATTTTCATTGTACACTTGGATTTGTGCTATTTCCTTGTACGACAACAGGTTATGTTTCTGTATCTAATTCACGCTGCAGCTATATTATGGTTGTAGCACGAATGGGTCAGCTTGACGGGGAAGGACCACGCTCTCACAGAATACCAGCGTAAAATAGCAGCTTAATGCTGCTGTGTTTCGTATGATGAGTGTAGAGAACCGGAGACCCCTTTTACTGGAAACGAAGCATTCCGTCGTATTCTTCAGTGGTGACAACGCATTTGCATTTTGATTTTTAATCGAAGATAAATGTAGATGTCTATGGACCACTGCATCCACTTACCATCAGGTGGGATGTATGTTCATTCGTCACCCCTTTCTAAAAAAAAATACTTAAGATTTGTCAGCTGGTGGTTTTTTATTATCTAAAAATAAATTATTGATATTGTATATTTGTCAAGTGAACAACCCACTGATAGACCCGAGCCTCTCCTACTGTAGAAAGTATTTGCCTTAATTGCTTGTTATATAACAGATGTTATACAACTTTGACGCTGTTACCTATCACAGAACTGCCTGAACTAATCGAACACATTTAGATAAAAAAATTTTTATCAGTTTGCCTAATCAACACACAGGTTGTTAGCCTTAAAAATGTATACAATAAACCTTGATATTGTTATTACTGATTTGCCGATTACAATATCATACAAATCTTATTAGAAAGTACTTATATAAATATATATGTGTGTATATATATATATATATATATATATATATATATATATATATAATATATATATGTATATATATATACGGGCGAAGTCACAGTAATGAATTTAAATTTTTTGAAGTGAAAACTTTTTTAGACACGTTGAGCACTTTTGGGACGAATAAAGCACGCGTGACCGTCACGCTCAGATACATATATACAGATGTGTGTATTAATATATAATTCTTTTGGAATGAGGAATAAGCACTGCACTCGCGTGACCGTCTCGCTCAGATACATATGTATACAAAAAAAGTGTGTGTGTGTGTGTGTGTGTGTGTGTGTGTGTGTGTGTACTTATGTATGCACTACGCACGTAAAAAAATGATACTTCGTTAGCGTAACAAAACTAAAATATGTAACTAAAATAAAACACGTATTATAGATTCATATATATTTGAATAACTACCTTGAATATAGTTCTTCTTCTTCTTTTAAATTATGGCTTCTCTTGATAGAATTCTGCCAGTGTCAAGTCAGTTTGAATATAGTTATCATTTCTCACGAAAACTTGACAGATTACAGACAATTACCAACTGAAGTTGTCGCTTAGGTTTCGGTGTGCGCGCGCATCTTAACAACTTCATCAAACACAACATGTGTTTAGGAGTCGGTGGGCGCGCACATCGTAAAAATTCAATCTCTTCATTTTTCTTAAAGGCGCCAAACGAAGTATAACTTCAAAAAATTTTTACAATTTTGTAAAGCTAAGAAATTTTCACTTCTAAAGTGCAGTGCTACGACTGACAATTTTCTTTTTTTATAAAAACAAACTATCAATTCATTGGTCTTTCGCTCATACGGTATCGCGCTATAGTCTACGACATGTATGGATAATAACCGGCCCGCGAGATATTTTGAAAAAACCAAATTAAAAATATTACATTAGGTACTTATACTCACGGGAGTGACAGTGAGGCGGCAAACATCAAATCCATTGATGATTGCCGCCTCACACTTTGATAATCGCCGCCACACGGCTTGCTCGATCAAATTCTTTGAGGTTTGCCGCCTCACGAGCGACACATTAAAAGATTTATTGAGTCTCAATTATTCTAAACTAGTTTATTCCAGATTATTCCTTCATTTTTCCTATAATAGCTGGTGGATGGCCCGAACGTTAGTTCAGTTCTATTTGAGCTACCGAGGTGATAACTTGGACAAGCGATATCCTAGTGAACTGCTCGAGCCGTCAACTTGCTTTGTAACTTTGTGTGCATCTTGAGTGGTTACTAACTATAGTTTGTTGTTAAGTTTATTGAACGAAAAGTAAACAAAAATGATGTCTAGTGGAAAGAAACGAAAAGTAGATAGAGGGTCGCCAGTTTCAAGAAAAATGGACTTGAAGAATTCTTTTTTACCTTTCACAATGGTAAGCCTATTTGTTTGCTGTGTAATGAATCCATTTCAGTAATGAAAGAATTCAATATAAAGAGGCATTACTCAACTAAGCATGGTACGCTGCACTCACTGACAGGACAATTAAGAAAAGAAAAAATCCAGAAGCTTACCGCAAATTTGTAAAAACAGCAACAAATGTTTCACAAACAAAGAACACAACTTGATAATGTTGTGAAAGCTAGTTTTATACTTAGCTCAAAATTGGCAAAGGCATTAAAACCATTTGCCGAAGGAGAATTTATCCAGGAGTGTATGTTAGAAGTTTGCGGTATTTTGTGTCCTGAAAATAAAAATTAATTTGAAAAAATTAGTTTGTCAAGACGAACTGTTGTTCGACGTATAGAAATGGTGGCTAATGATATAAAAACAACATTGACTGACCGTATAGCTGGTTTTGAATCATTTTCCATAGCATTAGACGAGAGCACCGATTTCATTCACTTTTACTGAGGAATTGCTTGCTTTGCAGCCGCTAAAAGGAACCACTACAGGAGAGGATATTTTTATTGAAGTTCAAAAGGTATTCACAACTTTTGGCTTGCCATGGTCAAAATTAATTGGAGTATGCACTGATGGTGCACCTTTTATGGTCGGCTTACGTAAAGGTTTCATCGGAATTTTGAATGAAAAAGTAACAGAATTAAATGTATAAAAAGATGATTTGATAGTCCTTCATTGCATTATCCACCAACAGAACTTGTGTTATAAGTCCATTCGACTCCAGAATGTTATGAATGTGGTAGTAAAAACCATCAACTTTATTCGATCCCGATCATCAGTTCAAGGCGTTTTTGGATGTAATATCAGCTGAATATAACGACGTAACATATTATTGTGAGACTTCACAATAATATGTTACGTTGAGCTGAGCATAAGAAAAATGTTGAATCGATTTTACTATCTGAATTAAGTGACCCAAAATGGATATGTGACTTGGCATTTCTGGTCGATCTTACAAGCTATTTGAATGATTTAAATTTGAAACTTCAAAAACAAGGAGAGTTAGTAAATGATTTGTACAGCCATTTGAAAGCGTTTCAGATCAAACTACGCTTGTGGGAGTCACAGATGCTGTCTGGTAACAGTTGCCATTTCTTCACGATCTCTGCGTATGAAAATATTGCTTATGCTCAATATGCTGAAGAACTCAAGTTACTGTCGGAACAATTTTCGAACAGACTTAGCGACTTCAAAACATGGAAGACTGTTTCAGTTTATTTGCTACTCCTACAAAATATAATGTACAAAATGCTCCAATACACTTACAAATAGAGTCGATCGAGATTCAAGAAAACTCACTCCTAAAATCCAAATTTGAAGACGTAGAGTTGTGCGATTTCTACAAAAAATACCTAGAAGAGGACAATTTTCCGCCGCTTTGAAAATTCGCAAGAAGATTGATTTGTGCGTATGGCAGTACTTATAAATGCGAACAGTTCTTTTCATTAATGAAAGTTAATAAATCAACACATCGTACAAGACTGACTGACGATAATTTGGAAACTTCTTTACATCTTTGTATCAGTGGAATTAATCCAAATATCGATGGATTAGTTTCCCAAATTCAAGCTCAAGTGTCTCATTGATTTCGGTGTATTTAACTTTCGTAGTTTGTAACAATTGCAAATTTAACGATTTAATTATAATGTACCATTTTATTAAATTTCATTTTGTTATTTTAATAAATTGTACTATTCTAACATTGTCGTATTATTTCATGTCTAATATCTATCGCAAAAAATATTATCACTACTTTAAAATGCACTTAAAGTACTTTTAAACGCGGCCCGCGCACGTATTTGCACGCTAAAGTTTGGCCCTCAACATGTGAAATGTTGCCCATACCTGGTCTACGACATAATATTAGGTATACATTTAGCGCATACGGGACCAACAAAGAAACTTTTATATTAATTTATAAAGGAGTTAATGAATTTAAAATTTGATTTCTATATATTCGTTTTCTTTTTCTAAATATGTAAGTTTATTTTTAATAAAAACAAACTTCATGAATTCATTGGTCATTCGCTCATGCGTTATCGCGCTGTAGCCCTATTGGTATCTGATAAGAAGATAAAGCTCGGCGAGTGATAAGAGATGGTGCAACATTACCAAATAACTTTACTACTTTCTTTTAACTCCATAAAATTTGATGCAAGTTGTATCCTATTGCACTAGCTTGTTATAAATTAATAATAAATAATTTTTACATAATAGACAATGGGTAAATTTTAAATATTTCGTTCGAAGTGTGTTGTGTGTGCTGTATACAAATGTATAAAACATGTCTTTCGTATTACCGCGACTGTCAAGATGTTGTTGCTGTCTTAGTTTAAAGACTGGATCACTTATAATTGGATATGTTTCACTTGTGAGTATCTATTGCATTATTTTGCATTGTAGGCTTTATAAATAAATTAAAATTTAGATTCTTTAAACATGCTCCTACAATAATTTAATGGCAAGATTTCGAGAAATTAATAATTATAAGGTACTTTTGACAGGGGCTTTTTTATTAATAAAGTATTTACTAGAGATAGAGTGTATTATTTTCATGTTCTAGTCCAATTCAAACCGATTGTCTTTAAATACCATAGAAAAGTAAATATTAATATCCATGATAATTGACTAAAAGCTTTAAATAAAGCAATATTAATCACCTACACACTAACATTTTACACATAAAATGCCTTGAAGTTTTAGTAAGAAGGTTTACTACCTACCTTTCAATGATTTATGCTTTTTTATTTTTACTTTGATTTAAAAAAATTACAAAATTATTACTTTCTTGAGAATTATTTGTTCTAAACATTAGCTTGACAGACATTTGTAATCGCATAAATATGATAACTAAGTAGGTAGGATTTTTTTAATGTCTAGGAGTAGAATTTCTAGAGGACGTATCACTGCCATCCTCTTGTTTTTTTTTTTTTAATGAATGACTAGGCAAACGAGCATACGGCTCACCTGATGGTAAGTGATTAGGTACCGTCTACAATGAACATCTGCAACACAGGTGCGTTGCCGGGCTTTTAGAAAGGAGTAAACTCTTATCTTAAAGGTCCCTAAGTCGTTTCGGTCCGGAAAAACCGCTGGTGACAGTAATTTCCATTATGTTTTTGTGTGTTTATGCCGCCAAGCGGCAATGTCCGCACTGCTATGGTCTAAAGTTTAGTCCGCAGCAGTGCAGGCACAAAATCCAGTGTAAATACAGGCGTCTGTGGACTGCACTTGCTACTTACCATCAGGGGGACACTTCAGGGGTTTGTTTTTTGCTTCAATTCCATTAAAAAAACATTTATTCTATGGCCAGTCTAGTCCCATATTTTTAAGTGATATAAAACAGGAGTGTAAGACGCTAATCATCGAAGAGAGCTCTGGTGAGCATAATGCTGCTGTATTTCGTGTGGTGAATGTAGTAAAGAACTGGAGATCATTACTGGTAACGACGAATTCCTCCTAATCCTCAAGGATGACAACGTACTTGCATTTTGATTCCTAATATTTATTTATTTCCTAATAATTACAGTTGTGAGTGCCTTCACAGTATTCACTTGCCGTGGGTGGACTATCCTATCGTTAGGCCAATCTTTTTACGAGGTTGAACCATGGCTCATGGAAGTAAAGACAGAGATATAGCAGAACGAATGTGTCGGCTCGACTGGGGTAGTACCACGCTCTCACAGAACACCAGCTAAAATAGTAGCTTAATGCTGCTGTGTCGTATGGTGAGTGTAGAGAACCTGAGACCCTTTTTACTCGAAACGAGACATTCCATCTTCGTCCTCTGGAGTGACAACGTATCTGCATTTTGATTCTTAATGGAGTATAGATGTAGATGTCTATGGGCCACAGCATTCACTTATCATCATGTGGACCGTGTGCTCGTTTATCACCCTTACTCTATAAAAAAATGTGTGGTGTGTGTGGTTACTCCTAATTTTGTTTTAATTACCTAAAATACTTTCAATTACCTAAACTAGGTGCCGTGTTTGTTCAAGGGCTTAGCGCTCGACGTTAATATCACAGTGTGCTAGCATATCGGACTCGATCTCTCTATGTGATTATTAATTTTAAATTTCAATTGCTGATTAACCACGTGCTCGGCGGTGAAAAAAAGGCTTTGGAGAAATCGGTATGTCTGAAGAATTAAAAAAAAAGAAATGCATAATATGAAGTCCGCCAATATGAATTAGTGCACTACGTTGGACACTTTCTGGTCCTACAACTCTGTTCGTAATGAGAGAAGGCCTATGCCTAGATATGGGAGGTATATACCTTGTACCTTTAACTTTACGGTCTGAAATATAAATAATTACAGCCTTCTTCAGTTTTTATTACAGCCTTTCTCAGTGTATGTGTGTATTATCTATGTATATACGTTATATACGTTAGCACTATTTTCTAACTCGTAATTGTTAATAGATAACTATGTAACTCGGTATATAACTCGTAGTTAGAAGACTACACACCGACTTGTTTGTGAAGTCACAAGGCTCCAACTGAAAACCAGGGCTATCTTTGCAGCATTATGCTGAGTTGTAGACCTATTTGATGTCACATTTTAATTTAGATTTGTTTTTTTTTAGGATATGGTGACAAACGAGCACACAGTCCACCTGATGGTAAGTGGTTGCCGTGGCCATCTACATATATCCTCGTTTGCGAATCAAAGTGCAGATGCGTTGTCACCCGTGAGGACTAGCATGGGATGCCTCGTTTCCAATAAGGGTAAGGGTATCCGGTTCTCTACACTCACCATACGAAACACAGCAATGTTAAGCTGCTATTTAACGCTGGTATTCTGTGAGAGCGTGGTCCTTCCCCGGTCGAGCCAACCCATTCGTTCTACAACTATACTACTAATATAGCTGCAGCATGGCCCTACCACGTATAAAATTGTTTGTTTCATTATTAATTATTGGTGTGTATATACTACTTCTCAATTGTTAATACGTGAGCAGTATTGTTAATACGTAAGCAGTACATGCATTTTTCTCCTGCTTTTGTATATTATATATATTATTTACTGTGTGTAAAATGTGTAAATCAAATAAATATTTCTTTCTTTCTCTCTTTCCTTTTTTGTTATATGTTAGTTGCAGGTGTCAATGGGCGACAGAGCACACTTATCATCAGGTGAAATGCAAGTTCAATATCACTTAATTTTTATGCATATACTACTGTATTATCTACAGATGACCACGTCGTTATTCATGGCCGCATTCTCTTGGTCCCTCTACAAAGTTGTGAAATATGTGAAAATAAACGCCAATAAACTACAACCGGACCACAAGCCCGAGGAAGTGGCGCAGGTGGCGTTGGGCCTGTACATCACGCACGCGTACGCGTTGCTGGTGTTGTTGTATCATTTCGTGATCAGTCTGCTTCTAGTGATTGGAGTGCACATGGTAAGATACTGGACGGTTTGAATGATACACGAAAAAAAATTCAGTACCGATAAAAGATATATATCGTGAATGTCTTCAAGGTAAAGGTGAATAGGGTTTTGTCACGCTAAGACAGTGTGATTTACCATCTAGGGCTTCATCATCACTTACCATTAGGAGGGATTATAGTCAAGCACTAGAATAGAATAGAAGAGGATAGAACAGAAGAGAATAGAATGATTTTTATTCAACATATACCTTACCAACATATAACTTGTATTTTTTTCTAAGATAAGGGTGACAAACGAGCACACAGACCACACGATGGTAAGTGGTTCCTGTGGCCCATAGACATCTATATCTATCCTCGATTACAAATCAAAATGCAGATGCGTTGTCACCCGTGAAGACTAAGATGGTATGCCTCGTTTCCAGTTCTCAACACTGACCATAAGAAACACAGTAGCGATCAGCTGCTATTTTACGCTGGTATTCTGTGAGAGCGTGGTCCTTCCCCGGTTGAGCTGACCTATTCGTGCTACAATTACACCGAGCACTTGGTAAATCAGCACTTAAAACTGCAATTAACAATTTCATTGAGGCCGGCAGAGATCGAACCCGGCTTGCTCGCGTACTGTGAAATTTACAGCGAGCGCTAACTATCTCAGCTACCTCGGCTACAATATCTAGACTAGATGCAAATTATTTGAAAAATTATGTCAAAGACATAGTAAATCTGCTAATACGCATTGGGCCGGCTGGCAATTCCTTGCCCTCGAAACTTTCAGAAGATTTCATGGGTTTTAATTTTTCTGCGCGGAACCCTTATTACTTTTTTTTTAAAGTAGTATAAGTTACTCCATATAACATTAGCTATTTGCCACTAAAAGTGCCATCAAAATTGGTTCAGCCATTTAGGGTGTTAGCCGAAACAAACAGACGTCTGTCTGTATGACAGACAGACAAACTGAGACAGACAGACAGACAAAAAATTAAAAAAAAATTGCTACAAGTACCGTATATACTTTCATATGCATTTAGTATAAAGCTATTATTTTGACATTGCAAACAGACACTTCTATTTTTTTTTGATATAAAAAAACGTTACCCCCACACTAGGATTTTTTCCTGTGTCGTGGAGGCAGTTTACAAACATAAATTGCACAAGGACAAACATCCAGACCCGGAACAATTATTTGTAGGCCATACAAATACTTGTTCCGTGCGGGATTCGAACTCGCGGCCCCCAGCGCAACAACTGATTGCTAAGTCACTGCGCCACGAAGCCGTCAAAATATTTTATTTATATAGATATAGTTTAATAGAATATAAAATAGGTACCTACTCCTACTCCTTTTTAAAAGGCCGGCAAAGCACTTGCGATTCGCCTGATGTTGCTATTCTGCATGGGCTCAAACCAATAGTTGAGGCCCATGTCACCGTGTGTGAATTCATCGTCAATGCTACTCTATAGAAATATATAAAATAGAAGTGTCTGTTTATAATGTCAAAATAACAGCATTTTACTAAATACTTATGAAAGAACTATATAATATAATTCAAATATACAATATTTTATTATATAGGTACAATTTTTTTTATAGGACAGGGGGCAAACGAACCTGCGGTAAGTTACTACCGCCGCCCATGAACAACCGTAACACCAGGGTAATTGCAGATGCGTTGCCGGCCTTTTAAAAGGAGTAGGCTCTTTTCTTGAAGGTCCCTAAGTCGTATCGGTCCGGAAAAATCGCTGGTGGTAATCGATTCCACAAGGAAGTTGTGCGAGGAAGAAAACGTCTTCTAAATCATTCTTCGTATAGTGGTGGACCGCGAATCATCCAGGTGGTATGGATGGTATCGCAAGTTTTGTCGCGATGTGCGATGATGAAATTGAGCGGCTGGAATTAGTCCAAACAATTCCTCAGAGCACTCCCCGTGGTAAATTCGATAAAATACGCAAAGAGAAAATTTTAAGAGATTAAAACTATAGTAAAAATACATGTATGTGTATCGTGGAACACTCGGTTGCAACAAAGTTCCTTTCGTAGTATATTACTCGTATTATTGATTAACAAATACAAATAAATTAATTACTAACGTCTATTAAAATGAAGCGTCATTTAAAATAATATTTCTTTCGTGGCAAGATAAGAAAAACTGCGAAGGAGATGGATATTAATCCATCTCGATTCCTTATAGCCGCCAAGGCCATCTACACTACGTCAAAAGGGGTTGTGACGGAAAAATCTTACACTTTTTCTCGCCTAAGCCCCATCCGCTAAATTCGTACCGTCTGATAAAGAACTTCGTTCCAAAAAACTAAAACTATAACCTAATTATCATACAATCCCACTCCCCGTTGTATGTGCGTAGGAAGAGCGAAATGCCATAGGAACTTCAATGCACGTGGACCCCACGGACGGATAGTCTCTACAGCAAATGGCTCAAATATGTAGTCTTCTCTCAGAGATCCACGGTTGTACGCAGGAAAATAAAATAAGATATGAATTAAATTTATTAATGAATAACTTTTCATGTAATAATAATTTTAACTTGACATTTAATTGTTATAATTATAATAATAGAATTAATTTAATAGACATAAATAATTTAATTAAGAAATTTTTGACTAGAGATAGATATTACCTACATAAATATAATTTAAGACATATATCAAATGTGCTATCTTATTGTTTATATATTAACTCAGCCAAGGACTTGGCTACACAGACATCTGCTTTTTTTGAGCAGTATAATGACTTAATATGTAATTTGGAGTTAGTTCCAAGTAATTTAAATTAGATAATGAGACAATAGAGGTAATCTTTTTAATATTTGCGCCACTTACTCAGTTTAGCTGCCTCTGATGCCGCACCGGCTCTAAACGAGGTACCCCTGAGATGAGAGGCCGCCAAAGTGTCTACGCAAGAAGCATCCCACACTAGAGCTTTACCTCTCTCCTAAGGGATCAATTTTATACCGTCAGGTCTGTTGCCATCGTCTCTAAATATTCCACAAGGCTCTAAAACCGAGGGAACATTTATAAAGACGATAGCCCTTCGGATGACACCGTTCAAAGAACCGTGCCGTGAATACCTACCAGCACTTTTCTTACATGAACTTCTGTGGAGCCCAAACCTACCACAGGGTTGACTAATCGCGGTCCTAGTGGGACTCCTGTGGCGATTCGCAAGCTTTCCCCATCAAATAAAGCGCCGAGATTACTTGATGGTAAAGTGTGTAACCAGTGACTAGATTTCTTAGTCGAAACAGCTAGAAGGCGTGCCTGATCTTGGTCACTATAGAAATTATAAAACAAATATTTTTGCACGCTCTGTATCGACGGAATATACCAGTTTTTTTTTTTTTTTTGGTTTACTTCCAGTGGAACATTTTCGCCGGAATAGAGCGTTCGCCATGTCTGCCCTGCCTCCGTAGCAAAGCACAGGTCTACTTTATTATTTAAAATTATGTTACATAAGTCATTGACACTATGCACGGAAGCAAGGAAAGGAGGCAATGCAACGCTAGAAAGTTTTCTCACACCAATTCCACCAAATTTTATAGGTAAAGTAGCTTGAGTCCAGGCTGTTGCATTTAAAGTTAAATTTAGAAAATTTTCTATAGCTGTTTTAAGATTATTATCAATATATTTAAAATATCCGAATAGTTCCAGACTGGACTGGAGCGGAATAAGTATGTATGTAAATCTAGGTACAAGGAGGCAATATTTTAAAATAGTAAGAGCAATGAAAAACCCCCACGGTTTAATTTATACAATTTATCAACGTGGTTTAAAAACTGATCAACTTTTGTTTTTAAAACTGGTTTAATACTATCGAAAAACAACGGGGCACCTAGCAGATATACCGATTCCGTACTGACAGTTTTTATTCCTGGAGAAATATGATTGAAATTAGAACTAGATAAATTATTGGAAAAAAATATTTCACATATATTGCTATTTGGTTCAAGACCAATATTTCTAAAATTTCTAAAGACATGAGTAAGATCACTGAGGACGGCATCTGCTCTACCTCCCAGTGTACCGTCGTCCAGGTACCAGACATTTAGCTTGGATTTCAAATTTGACATAATGGGTTGAATTCCCAAACTGAAAAGTGCTGGACCTAGTGGGTCACCCTTCTCAATACCGACGGCAGAATCGATGATATGATTTTCGTAAAACAAGTTAGTATTTTGACTTGTAACATTGCTAAATGTAACGATATATTTCGGGGGTATTGTTAGCCACCTTTTTCAGCAGGATTACACTATCGACAGAGTTAATAGCATTCCTTAGGTCAACCGTCACAAGAACATCTGCATCAGTTTTTAAAAATGAACGCTACTGAATATACCGCCGCCTCACAACCACCTCTAGTGCCAAAAGTGAATACAAATATAAAAATATATACGGTACTTATAACAAAAATACGATTTTTAAAAATTTTGTCTGTCTATCTATCTGTCTGTTTGTCGGTCTGTCTGTCTCCTTGTTCCGGCTAATCTTCGAAATGGCTGGACCGATTTTGAAGGGACTTTCACTGGCAGATAGTTGTGTTATAAAAAGTAACTTAGGCTTATATATTTAGGGTATATAATTAGGGTTCCACGCAAAATAAATGAAACCCTAAATTACATGCGGACGAAGTCGAGGTAACAGTTAGTAATAAATATATTCCTTGCATGGACATGACATCTTTCATTACGTTTCCCTTACTTCTATAAATAGACATCGATGTATTTCTATAATACTTTATTTTTTCAGAATAAAACTAAATACTTAAAATATTATTTTATGGCGGGCTTATTCCTCTTAGCACTGGCAATAGCCTTAGCGATGGTCTCAACTATATTTTTTGGATTACTGTCTACTATACCAACGTTAAAGTGGTGTTGTAAGTATAAAGAATTATAACTGTATACATATATTTCTAGATACTTAACTTTTTAACATCTTTAAAAAAGACATGGAGTTGTAAGTGTGAATAAAAATAATTGTTTATTCATTCATTTATTCATTATTCATCACCCATAAAAGTTCACAGCTGAACTTAGTCTCCCCTTAGATTGCTTCATAGTACCTATAATACAACCCTGCAACCCTAGTTGCCAACACCAAATTTTATTTGTGTTACCTCATAACTTTTTCTGGGTGAACCGATTTTGCTCATGTAGTCCGTAATAATTTATATTGAAGTCGGTTGTACAATTTTTTTTAATTTTACCATTTGTTTTATGACATAAAAATTTAAAGAAAATACAGTCGAATTTCCTCCTTTTTGAAGTCGGTTAAAAAGAAAAAGTCTATAGCTGCAGAAGATACCTTTAATGTTAACAAAAGTTATGATCACTACATATAACTTGTTTGTAAAATTGGGTTTCGGGGTCAATACCTTTTTTAATAATTCACTAGTTATTTTGCGCACTGTTCTGTTTTTCAAACAATTCTTCTTTTTTTTTCAGTGATACTTTTCTACTGTTTAATCGTTGTACGAAGCACGCATTTAGAAATGGAAGATCAAAATATACCTCGTGTGTATGAAATGCAAACGCTTTACAGTCCCCAACAAGTGCCGCTCATTGCTTGATTTAATCTACATAACTTCTTTAGTTTTTAAATATCCCACATAAATATGTTCAACCAACGTATGTGTTTTATTAAATTTCTAGAAAAACGCCATCATTAGTAAAGCCCAAAATCACGTGAATATAAAGGCATATTTTCAACCCCTTTTGCAGTGCTAGTTTTAAGGAAGCTACAAAGAAGTTTTGGTAAAATTTACCAAGAAAGGGGTTACAAACGAAATAGCCGCTAAATGCTGCATAGCTGCACTAAAATGGTTGTGCAGGGATATCCTTAGTACTGTAAATTCACGCTCTAGGTTTGTCATGTTCAGTGTTGTAGAATAACTTACCTTTTAAGTTGTTTAGGCCTTTGGATTTTACCAGCACTAACCCACGGCTCCTCAATTTGGGCTATGGCTGTCTGTTGAGCCTATAACCACTTGCGTAACTGAGCCGACTCAGTTTCGTTGTGGTGGAGGGTGGCCTGCACGAGGCTAGTTCTGGACGCCACGCCATCATTGATCGCGTCCTCCTACGAATAAGCCTGGACGAGGTCACGGATCTCGTTGTCAGACACCAAGTTGGAGTTGGACGGTAGAATGCCGTCCTCCTCGTTCCCTAGCGAACTGCCGCTGAGCTCAGTCTCTACTGGTGGCTTCGGCTCCGTTGTGCAGACCATTTCGCCACTGAACTTGAAATACAGTGATACCGCTGCCCCAGTATCCATGGCACCAGTATCTATGGCTTCCGGGTTGTTATCCGCCTCTTTGCTCGTTGGAGTATCATATAATTTACCTCCACGACCTTGAAATTTGACGTAAGCCGCCCCACATGCAAAGCGGCGTACCGCTTTCATCAAGGTCGGGATATGATGCTCCGGCGCCGAAATGATGAAGAACCACTCGTCCTTATCGGCCTTGGACAATAGTCATTCCCTGATGTTAACCAAGTGGTGTTGGTATGCCAGCACACGACAAAAGTCACCGAAGTCGTTCCAGGCCCCCTGAGCGTCTGGGATAAGAATACCACATTTAATTCTTTGTGATATCTCTGACTGGTTTTTGATGATCAGCGAGTTGCTGGACTTAAGGTCCAGGGTGGCGGTGTTCCCCTTCACCAATGCCTTCTAATCGTTGCACCACAGCTGCGGAAACACCCTACGTATACACAGGTTTGCCCCTGAAAACTGTGCCCGAAGCATCAGGGTCTTGACTGCTCCAAGCCCCGCTGATCATCTTCCACTGGATACCCACGAGGATATCATCCTACTTCCTTTGTAATGTGACCTGTACTTGCACACGTTAAGGCACAATTCTGCTTTAAAAACGAAAGCATAGCTAGTTTTTGCAACCTTAGGTTGCTGTTCAAGTCGCACTCTTTTATGTTCACCTCTTAGCGAGGTGGACTCGTCTAGCATCCTTTCAGCTGCTCTTCTTACTCTTCTTACTTTTAGAAACAGCCAGCTCAGCCCTTTCCTTACGAGCTTTCTCTCGCTGCTTTTTATATTTCTTCTTTTTTGCCTTTTTTTCGCTCCTGGAATAAACCCTTCTTGATAATCCGTCGGGTCAGCTAGTTACTTTTTGGGTGTTTTGCCCTTCCCTTTTACGGCTTACCAATTGCCAGAAGCTGAGAAAAGGTCAATTTTTTAAAGCTCCGCAGTAGTTTTGTCACTCGCAGTCCCCAGCTCCTTTTCCACATCCAGCTCCTCAGATTTAGAACTGGTCTTGGGAGCCCGTTGCGCAGAATTAGTGCCTCAGGTACTGACGCTGGATGACATAGTCTGTGGAACCGCCGTTTCATCATCCTTGTTTGTTGGTGCCTCTGGTTATCACCTCTCACACCTCTCCGTCTTTTTTGTTGGACCTTTAAGCGTCCATGTTATTTATTGGTTTAAAATTCGTCTCCCCAGCTTCCACGAAGCCCACACCTTTGGGAACGCCCTACTTTAAAAAAGGAATTTCAGACGCTAGGATTACCGGGAGAATATACTATATTTTACTGGTTTTACGCTTTACCTTTGCTTTATTGGTTTCACAATGATGTAAACCTCAAGTTATTATGTCCGTTTTGACGCTTCATGGCGCGTCTCCACGTACAGATTTTCTCAACGTTTTTACGTTCATTCTAGAGCAGTAGTGGTGCCTAAAATGAGATCAGGGAGTTATTTGCAGGCCATTAAGATATTATGAATAACCATTTGTAAAATTTTTCTTTGTCTGTTTGTTCGGACGAACCTTCGGAATGGCTTAAGCAACTGTAGTGAAACTTCACGAACAGATAAAATAAAGCAATGCCAGGAGTTAGCTAGACTACCTTTTATTAAAATTTTGTAAAGTCGAAAAAAAAATGTTTGATGATTATAGTATCAAACCTAAATATTGCCACATTTCTACAGATCCAATTCAGCTAAAACTGCGGCTGTTTATTATTAATAAAACAAACGACAGTAATTTACTATCACTTGACGCTGGGAAATATGCTAATCGTACGAATTCCTGTATAACACAATTACAGGTTAAATTAAAAAAACATCTTAATTTCAATAGAGAGGGAGGCTGGGTACTAACCACCTGCTTGGGATCATGTAATTAATAAAATTAAAACTAAGCCCAAGCATACCACTGCAAGACTTCAAGACACAGTAAGTTCATTCTGCGTAGATCGGACCAAAATTAATAATTAAAAAAGCTGAAGGTACTCCGGGTTAACTCTGACATGGGGACGTCAATCACCTCAGTCCACGTGACCATGTGTGCTGTAAAGTACTCGAAACCATAAACCCGAAACGTCGGGAATTAATAAAAATAAGTTAATTAAACTCGTTAGAATCCATAATAGTATATAGTTTTATTCAAGACATGACGTCTTTAATCTATAGTGATTTCGTTCACAACATGACATGATATACTCGTTTTTGTTTAGTCATTTATTGTTATTATTTTATTCATCATCATCATCATTACAGCCTTTCATAAGTCCACTGCTGAACATAGGCCTTCCCCAAGGAATGCCACAAAGTACGGTCCTAAGCCACCTGCATCCATCGACTTCCTGCATGTCTTACCAGGTCGTCACTCCATCTCGTGGGGAATCGCCCTACACTTCGCCTACCGGTAAGAGGCTGTCACTCAAGAACCTTTCTTCCCCATTGGTTGTCGGTTCTTCGAGCTACATGGCCGGCCTATTGCCACTTCAGCTTACTAATCCGTTGGGTTATGTCGGTTACTCTGGTGCTATGCGGATATACTCATTTCTAAGTTTATCACGCAGAGAAACCCCGAGCATAGCCCTCTCCATAGCTTGCTGAGCGACCTTGAGCTTCCTCATACAGCCAGTAGTGAGGGACCACGTCTCAGATCCGTAAGTCATCACTGGCAACACGTACTGGTTGTACAATTTCGTTTTAAGTTTTTGAGGTATGTCTGACGAGAAGATGCGTCTTAGTTTCCCGAACGCTGCCCAGCCGAGTTGAATCCGCCTATTGACCTCTCGGTCGAAGTTGGACTTACCTAGTCGGACTATTTGTCCCAAGTAAACATACTCGTCAACAACTTCGAGCTTAGTGCTCCCAACAACTACCGGCATAGGTGTGACATGGACATTAAACATGATCTTTGTTTTGTCCATGTTCATCCTAAGACCTATTCGTTGGGAGACACTATATAGGTCATTGAGCATGGTGCTTAGGTCCTCCAGCGATTCTGCCATAAGGACTATATCGTCGGCAAATCGAAGGTGAGTGATGTACTCACCATTGATGTTAATACCGTATCCGTTCCAGTTCAGTGAAAACGTCTTCCAATGCAGCGGTGAAGAGTTTCGGAGATATAACATCACCCTGTCTTACACCTCTCTGCCATTGGATAGGTTTCGTACTCTGGTTCTGTACTCGAATAGCCATCGTGGCTCCTCGCCTCCAGTGTAATGCCACCATGGAGGACGGAATTAAAGAGCTTCTGAAGGACTTCAAGTACCGGTCTTCCACCCGCTTTCAGAAGCTCCGCTGTAATTCCATCCTCTTCTGGGGCCTTGCCGTTTTTCAGGTGCTGGAGAGCCATTCTAATCTCGCTCAGACTGACGTCCGGGATATCTTCGGAATAGTGTCGAATAAGACTCGCTCTTGGATCGTTACTCACACTTGCGTGTGGCTCCAACGATGACATAAAACCTACCATGCATACAGCTGCCCATAAAACCTCTCAATCTCACTCAAAATCTCAGGTGCCCCGGAAACGATGCTGCCACACTCAGTCTTCAGCTTTGACAGTTGGCTCTATGTGGCAGACAGATCTCTGACAAAGACATTGGAGCCTTGGTTCCGCTCGATCGCTTCTTCAATACAAGCTGAATTGAAGTTGCGTAAGTCCCGCCGCATGCATTTGGAGATCTGTCTGTTCAGTTGCCTGTATGCTGTTAAATCTGTTGAAGAATGTAGCTTCATCTCTCGTCTAACAGCCATGAGAGTTTTTGTGTTACTTACTTAGCTCCGACCGCATGGACAGATTCCACGAGCTTGTCATTCATATCGTCCACTTCATTGCAGTCTTCTAGGCACTGAAAACGGTTTTGTAACTCGAGCTGAATGGTTTCGGGACTTTGGAACAGAGCACGAGGGAGACGGAGCGTTGACTTCATTAGACGAGACCTCTCCAACTTAACGTTTAGGTTCAGTGTGCGTCTAACCATTCGGTGATCGCTGCCGGTTTTCACCCTGCGCGATTACTGAGACATCACTGAACAGTTGTCGTCTGGTCGTCATAATGAAGTCAATCTCATTTTTTGTGGAACCGTCGGGGATCGACAAGGTCCACTTCCTGTGGGGCCGCTTCTGGAAGAAAGAGTTCATCATAAAGAGTCTCTCTTTCTCCATGAAGTCGGCACAGCTGCTGGCCCCTTGGGTTCCGTTGCCCTATTCCAAATTTCCCTACTTTCAGCTCACCGTTCTCTCTTGTGCCTAGTTTTGCATTGAAGTTTCCCATTAACACCGTATATTGGGTTTTGGAGGAATGCATGGCTCTAGAGA